TATAATTAAATATTTTATTTTAAAAAAAATAATTACGAAAATACCTAAAAAATTACTTATTTTTGTGTGTGAAAAACTATTGATTTTGGATTTGTTTTGATTTATCAATGAAGTATATATATATATATATATTCAAATTTCAACACTGAGGAGGCAGAGAAGAAAAAGAGATGTTATATATCATGATTCCGCATTGATTGAACGATAAAGATTTTAGACTAGAGTAATATTTCTCTAGATTTTGTATTAAATTTTGTGAATTTTAAAGAGAAATAAAAAATTAATATGATAGAGCGATAAAGTATGATCAGATAAATTTATTAATATTTTATGTGGTAGAAAAAGATGTTGAATAATGTTAGTTTCAAAATGGAAGGAAACAAAGATAAAAGCTTCATCTTTGTGGGAAAGTGAAAAGAAAAAATGATTGGCTCAATATGTGACTTTAACATTAGTAAAATACAGTTCATATCGGTATAAAACTGTCTATGTCATCTTGTTGTTCTGATTAATGTCTGATTGATAAAAATACAAAACAATTTGAAAGTTTAGTGATTAAACTACACATATATAAAAGTTAGTGATCTAATAGGAAATTAAATTAAAGTTGAGTGTTGATATTTGTAGTTTACCCGTGTTCGATTTTATTGACCGCTTACCTTATCGGACATATCTGATTCTTCGTTTACTGCTCTCTTTGGTCAAAGCTCAAAACTCTTAAAACCGAATAAATTCACGTGCGATCCAGAGTGAGCAGAATTTAATTTGTTATTTCGACGTTTCCTAGTTTCTGTATGTCTTAAAATCCAACTTGTCTTCCAAAACCCGTAAAAACAATGGCCACCCTTTGAATCTTCTCCTCTCAAACCCTTTACATATATCTATCATCTCAAAAACCTCTGCTTTTCTCAGGATATGGAAACTAATAGCAAAAGCCCAGTTTCTGTTTTTATTGTTTCATTCATCTTTCTTTCGTGTTCTTTTGTTCACTTTTGCTATGGGGTTGACACACTCAGACAGGGACAAACGGTACCCGATGGCGACACCTTGGTGTCCGACAACGAGACTTTTGAACTGGGTTTCTTCAGTCTTGAAAACTCAACACTCAGATTTGTCGGGATCTGGTACAAGGTTGATGCTAAAACAGTTTTCTGGGTTGCTAATAGAGACAGTCCAATATCTAACAAAAATGGTTTTTTGAGGATTGATGTTGATGGAAACCTTGTTGTTCTAAATGGAAACGATAGTTTGGTCTGGTCGTCTAATGTTTCAGGTTTATCAAACAACACCGCCGCAATTCTTCAGAACACAGGGAACCTTGTTCTATCAAACAATGAAAGCATCGGAGATGCCGGTAGAGCTCATTGGCAGAGCTTCGATGAGCCAACCGATACATTTCTGCCCGGTATGCGAGTTCCGGTGAATTCCGCGATCGGCGAGTTCCGTGTTTTCAGATCATGGAAATCGGCAAGTGATCCTTCACTAGGGAATTTCACCATGGGCGTTGATCCTAATGGAGGACCACAGATTATAATATGGGATCGTATGACGAGGCGGTGGCGAAGCGGGCAGTGGAATTCAGTGATTTTTACAGGCATTCCCAATATGAGTAACATCGCTAGTTTCTTATATGGGTTCAAGCTCTCTCAGCCTGATGAAAATAGGACTCAGTATTTCACATATGATCCTTCGGATCCTTCGGATTTGTTGCGGTTCCGGCTCGGCTGGGACGGGAGGGAACAGCAGTTGAGGTGGGATGATGATCGGAAAACATGGACCTTGCTGGAAACACAGCCTAACGCTGATAACATATGTGATCTTTATAATCATTGTGGGAATCATGCTGTATGTGACCACTTGAAAGCTCCGAAATGCAGTTGTTTAGAAGGGTTTAGGCCAAGGATTCTGGATCAGTGGAGTGGAGGGAATTGGTCCGGCGGTTGCGAACGGAGGGTCGAACTGCAGTGCCGGAGGACTAATGGTTCTAATACGACCGCAAGGCAAAATGGTGAACCGGATGGATTTAAGGGAACAAGGCGAGTGAAGTTACCCGATTCGTCAAAGTTGTTGTTGTCTGCAATGAACATAGATGCTTGCAAATCAAGTTGCTCGGGGAATTGTTCGTGTAGTGCCTATGCATTTGTTTCTGGAATCGGATGCATGATATGGGAAGGAGACTTGGTTGATCTTCAGCATCTGGACCAAGCTGGAAATTTACAGTTCTTCTACCGGATCCATAATTCCGAATTAGGTATGCTGGCATCGATAATTTCGATTTCTTGCTCCTTAGGCTTCTTGTGAACTGCATCATGTTAGTGTGCAAAATAGCTGAGATAACTCATTTGAGCATCAGCTCTGCTGCATCTCACTGCATAATTCTGAACCCAAGTTGAATCTTATATACAAGAATTCGATGTGTACTATTGACTGTTTAAGCAATAATTCGACATAAGACATCTTGTATGAACTTTTCCAATAGATTAACACTGTTTATTTTCACTTCAATCGTAGATGGCGGTGCGAAGATATCCAACACAGTGATAATTATAATCTCTGTGTTGGGGGCATGCCTCTTGATGGTATCTATATGGCTACTATGGAAATACAGGAAAAAAGTTATACGTTTGCCGGTAGTTTCATCGATGCATTGTTGCAAGGACGATGATGTAGCGGTATTTAACGACTCCAAGACCAAAGATTTTTCCGCAGATGTATCAGGACCAACCGACATACTTATCGATGGGAGTCAAGTTAATGGATCAGAGTTAACAATTGTTAACTTCAGCAGTGTAGCAGCTGCAACAAAAAACTTTTGTGAAGCAAACAGGCTGGGGCAGGGTGGTTTTGGTCCCGTATACAAGGTGAATTTCTTTAGCTAATTACAGAGTATTAGTGTGTAATGTTATAATTAGTGATTGGAGAGACGGTAACAATGCTGATCGTTTACATTTATTGCCAGGGAGAGCTGCCTGGAGGTCAAGAAATAGCTGTAAAGAGGCTTTCGGGGACGTCAGGCCAAGGGCTAGAAGAGTTTAAAAATGAGATTATCTTGATTGCTAAATTGCAACATAGGAATCTTGTTAGACTATTAGGCTGCTCCATTGAAGGGGAAGAAAAGATGCTGATATACGAGTACTTGCCTAATAAAAGCTTGGACTACTTTCTTTTCGGTATGTTCCTCCATTATGCTCGGATTTTCATAAGTTTTTGTACTGAAACACATTGTTTACTGATAAGCTTCAATGGCAGATGAATCCAAGCGAGCGCTGCTAGATTGGAGAACCCGATTCAGCATTATCGAAGGCATTGCAAGAGGACTACTTTACCTCCATCGAGATTCGAGACTTAGAATCATTCATAGAGATCTGAAAGCCAGTAATATTTTGTTGGATGCAGAGATGAATCCAAAGATTTCGGATTTTGGTATGGCAAGGATCTTTGGGGGTAACCAAAATGAAGCAAATACAGTTCGAGTAGTCGGCACATAGTAAGCAAAAACTACACTTGTTCATAGATGTCAAATTACAAACAATGTCGATAGCTTGAAAGAACTAATCATTTATGTTTCTGATCTTAAAAATGCAGTGGATATATGTCTCCTGAATATGCAATGGAAGGACTATTTTCGGTCAAGTCCGATGTTTACAGCTTTGGAGTATTGTTGTTAGAAATCATTAGTGGCCAGAGAAATACTAGCTTCCGATCAGCCAATTACACGAGTCTTATAGCATACGTAAGTACAAATGCATGCAACATTTATATCCAAGCAACTGGGTTTTGTTATTGAATTCTACAATGCTAAAATGGCCTTTTGATGGACTTGTTTTGTCAAGGCATGGAGTCTTTGGAACGAAGATAAAGCTATGGAGCTCGTCGATCCTTCGATTCAGGATTCATGCTCGACAAACGTAGTGTTGAAATGCATACACATAGGCATGCTGTGTGTGCAGGACTCGGCAATGAACAGACCAACAATGGCTGCTGTGGTGTTGATGCTGGAGAGCGAAGCCCCAACGCTGCCGATGCCGAAACAGCCAACTTATACGTCCATGAGAAGCTTGGTAGATGCAGACTATAGTATGGATATGCATGAAACTGCATCTGCATCTTCCAAAGATGTCACAATGACAATGGTAGATGGAAGATAGATTTTATATTTGTTTACTTCATCTGCATTGTTTTGATATGTTCATAAAATATACGTATTCTTTACAGTATTCAAAGGGTATACAGACTTCTATGAGATTGAATTGTAATTATGATTTTTTTTGTTTCAAAGATTTTGTAATAGGGAGTGGGTGACAAAATGAGTTTTAGTAGTGACTTGTACCTTTGTGTCATTTGTATTATTGAGTGATTAGGAGCATCTATCAATATAAGAGAACCAGTTTGAAATTTCATCATTTTTTATTTTCAATAAGGGTTACTCCCGTAGTCCAGAGTAGATGAAATAATGGGAACTTTAAGCCATCACCATTTTTGGAACCAGTTCTTGTTCTTCAGTTTCCTGGTTATCTTCTTCTTCCCCAATATTTCGATCTCGGTTGGCACCTTGAGTGTAACGCTGACCATCGAACATAACCAAATTATTGTTCCCAGGGTGATGTTTTCGAGCTTGGATTCTTCAGCCTGGAAAGTCCTGGTGCATGGTATGTTGGGATATGGCATAATAACATTCCGGACAGAACATACGTGTGGATTGCCAACAGAGACGATCCGATTTCGAGCTCTTCGGGTGTGTTCAAGGTCGAGGATCGAAACCTGGTTCTTCTCGACCAACGGAATAACCTTGTCTAGTCGTCCAATGTAACAACAGGTGATACTGACAGTGACGACCCTGTTTTAGCACAGTTGCTGGACACCGGGAATTTGGTTCTAAGAGAAGCAAACAATGGTGAGACCGAGTTGATGGAGCATAACTGGCGAAGCTTTGATTACCCTACAGATACTTTGTTACTGGTCATGAAGTTCGAATGGGATTTAAACACAGTTTTTGAACATGTGTGCTAATACATGCAGGGTAGTTTGGTTGAAGGTCAAGAAATAGCTGTAAAAAGGCTCTCAAAGAACAGTGTGCAAGGAACTGAAGAGTTCAAGAATGAGGTTAAATTGATTGCAATGCTTCAAAATAGGAACCTGGTTCGATTTCTCGGTTGCTGCATCGAAATGGACGAGAAGATGTTAGTCTATGAGTACATGGAAATTCGAAGCCTCGATTCAGTTTTATTCGGTAAGTCCTTCTTCACAACTCAAGAGATTCATTAAGGGTAACAATTGTACATTCATGGTTCTGATGGTAGTTGAAGTACTTGTTGAAGATAAAGCAAGAAGCTCCTTACTGAACTGGCAAAGCCGATTCGATATCATTTGCAGAATTGCTCAAGGACTATTGTATCTTCACCAGGATTCCAGGTTTAGAACCGTGAACCAAGTCACTGTCACAATGCTGGATGCTAGGTAGTGAAAGGTCCGAGCTGCACCATCATGCTTTGGCTGTTTGTATATCTCAAAGAAAGTTGCCATCGTATATTTGCAGTTTTAGGGTTTTTCCAATAATGTTTTTTTAAAGGAAGTATAATATTTATTAACCAGGTTACAATGCAAGATGAGAAACTATACATATAGAACAAATCGGGTTGAATAAGATGAGATTTGTCGATACTATAGAGGGATCCAATACAAACGAAAGGAAATCAACCGGAGCTGACGACCTTGATGATTACAATGCAAATGTTAACTAAGTTACATATACTACACTTTAAAAAAAAACACATAAAATTAGAGCAAATGAGAAATTATATAAACCATGAATCCTTAAACATTTCATCATAATTAGAGCAAATGAGAAATTATATATATATATATATATATATATATATATAACCATGAATCCTTAAACATTTCATCAATAACAAAAGAAAAACACAATGAAAGTGGTGGCATATGCATGGATGTTACTCTCTATGTACCTTTTGGGGCATCTTCTCATAATTTACGGAGAAGCCAATGAGGCTCAAGCCCATGGTAACTTTCTCAAATCCCACTTGTAAAAAAAAATCATCTCCGGTGCTGCATTTTCCGGCACGGCTCGATGTGAACACCGACTTGAACGACTACATCAAGCCTCAAGATGGATCCATGGAGATCGATAAAATCATTGCATTACCTGGACAACCAAGTGGTGTCGATTTCAACCATTATTCAGGATATGTCACTGTTGATTCCAAGGCTGGTAGAGCTCTTTCTACTATTTTGCCGAGTCCCCCGAGAACTCTTCTACAAATCCTTTGGTTTTATGGTTCAATGGAGGTATGATTCATTAATTATTCATCCCGTTTACACTAGATTAATCCGAGGGTTATCCAACCGGCTTGGTTGATCTGATTTCGGACAATTTCAGTACCGGCATGTTCTTCATTAATTGGCGCGATGAAGGAATTAGGCTCTTTCAGAGTAAACAAAGACAGCAAGACATTTTTCCGGAACAATTATGGACACATGCCTTGAATTCAGATGAAACCAATAAAGGAATACACACCCCTATTGTTATTATTTCAATGATAAAGATCCAGAACAATGTAAGAACTTCATCTACAAATCCAATGTTGAGCCTGGTAATATTGATGGGTACAACATTTATGCCCCACTTTGTCCACTCGATTCGTCTTCATTGATAAAAACCTCATCCAATTCGGTACGTCAATATATATATATATATATACACACACGTGTGTGTTATTAACCTCGAGAAATAGAAAAATTGAGATCAAAGAAATGAAAGGATTTAGAAGAGAAACAGAGAGATTACAAAAAGGAATTCTTCATTCATTCATTAGATAAGGTTTTTTCCTCCAGTACATGGTTTTATTTTCAATACAATGTATTATGACCACTATATTTTTGACAACTGGACAATGTAGTAACTAACTCTTAACATCTTCCTTTGCATATGATAGTTAAGGTGTTTTCTCCTGTGGGCTGATGGTTGGATTCACTTATGAGCACATGTCCTTTGTCCATGTAGGCTTCAATTCCTCCATATGTGTATCCATTTCCAGGTAATTGTCTTCTTCCTTAGCCTTAGGAATTGAAATCCCTAATTCCCAATTCCTCTTTTCACAATCCCTAATCCCTCTTTTATATCCCCTATTCTCTCGCCTCGATTCTGAACTCCTCGTCTTGATCTTCTCTTTTGTTCGTGACAATACCCCCTCCATGAGTAGATCATTGTCCCCAAGGATTGAAAGTAGGAAATTGAGCGCGCAGGACGATATAATCTTCCCAGGTATCGTGTTCAGAACTCAATTTCGTCCATCTTACGAGAAATTGAGTAACATCATAGTTATCTCTTTTAACAATTCTTTTGTTCAAAATATTCTCAGGAAACACTTTCATCTGCCCATCATCGATTACTTGAGGAGGATCGGAGAAAGCTACTGCCTTCTCGCCAATTTTTCACTTCAGAAGGCTTATATGGAAAACGGGGTGGATTCGAGCAGTATCTGGTAAGGCCAGTTTGTACGCAACCTCTCCATTTTTTTCCATAATTGTGTATGGACCATAAAAATGAGCTGCTAACTTCAAATTTTTTCTAAGAGCTAGGGAAGTCTGTCGATAAGGTTGCAATTTTAGGTACACCTCTTCTCTTACATTAAATTTCCACTCACTACGATTCTTGTCAACTTGCTATTTCATACGATTTTGCGCTTGCTGTAGTTGATCTCTAAAATTTTGTTTAAGTTGATACATGTCTTGTAATAATGTCTGAACAAGATGGTTTGTGTCTGTAGAGGGCCTCGAAAGGGGTGATATTTAGTGATGTGTGGTAATTTGTGTTATACCACCATTCAACATGGGGAAACCATCTTGCCCACTGTGTAGGTTTTAGAAAACACAAACCTCGCAAGTACTGTTCAAGACACTGGTTCACTCGCTCAATTTGACCATCTGTCTCAAGATGGTAGGCCGTGCTAAAGAGTGTGATGGTTCCTAATTGCTTCATCAGTTCTTTCCAAAAAAGACTAGTTGAAGTCTTGTCGCGATATGAAATGACAATCTTAGGCTGACCATGAAGTTTGTATACCTGATCTAAATATAATTTAGCTACCTCCATCACATTATAAGGATGAGAAAGTGCTAAAAAATGAGCATATTTAGTCAGTTTATCCACTATCACCAAAATGCAATTCTTACGCATAGAAACAAGTACACCTCCAATAAAATCCACATTTATTACCTTCCATGCTTGTTAAGGAATTGGAATATGTTGTAGCAAACCTGTTTAGCAATATGCTCCACTTTAGTACGTTGGCAGACTTCACATTGTTGGACATAAGTAGAGACCATAACTTTAAGTTTAAGCCAATAAAAATAAGCTTTCACATGCTGATAAGTAGTTTGAATGCCTGAATGCCCTTAATGTGGAGAGTAATGTAGTATTTGCAGAATCTTTGAACGTAGATCATCCATCTTTCCCACATAAACTCTATATTTGTAGCGCAAAATACCCTTTGAATACCTCTAATTTAAATCAATAGCAGTGTTAACAATTCATGCTCTAATATATTCTTTAGCTCTGGCATGTTGTTCATAGCTTTGCTCAATGTCTTTAACCCAAGCTGTAATGATAATCATAGCACTCATCTTCTTGTGTTCTCTCAAATTCACAAACTGTCTTGACAAAGTATCTACCACAACATTAGTACATCCTTTTCTGTATTGGATTATGTAATATAAACCCAATAGTTTGGTCAACCCTATCTTCTTAATTATTATTGTGAGCTTTTGTTCTAACAAATACTTCAAAGGTTCATGGTCTATTTTAATGATAAATGGACCACACTCTAGATAATGCCGCCATTTTGAGACTGCTAAGAGAATGACAAGATATTTCTTCTCGTAGATAGAAAGATCTATGTGTTTAAGACTTAGATCTTTGCTAAGGTAAGCCGAGGGACGACCTCCTTGAGACAAAACAACCCTTATACCTTCTAAGCTCATGTCTGTTTGCAAATAGAATTCTTTGGTGAAATCAGGAAGAGCCAAAACCGGAGCCTTACACATTACATCCTTCAATTGAGTAAAAGTTGCCAATGCTTCAAGAGTCCACTTAAAACCCTCTTTTCTCATCATCATTGTAAGTTAACAGCTAATCTCACAATAACCTTTGATGAACCGTCTATAATATCCCGTCAGCCCTAAGAAACCCCTGAGAGATTTTAAATTTTGAGGAAGTGGCCAATTTTTCATGGCAATAATTTTTGATGGATCAGTTGACACCTTGAGCATTAATAATGTGACCTAAATATTCCACTTGTGGCTGTCCAAAGTAACATTTACTTCTCTTGGCATAAAGCTGATTTTGTGTCAATATTTCCAAAACCAGCCTTAAGTGTGTCGTATGAGCAGTTAGTGTAGTGCTGTAAACTAATATATCATCAAAAAACACTAGAACAAACTTTCGCAAATAGAGAATGAACAAGTCATTTATAAGAGATTGGAATGTAGCAGGGGCATTTGTAAGGCCAAAGGGCATTACCTTAAACTCGAAATGTATGTGATGAATGCAAAATGCAGTTTTGTAGATGTCTTCAGGACGCATTAGAATTTGCCAATAGCCATACCTTAAGTTCAGTTTATAAAAGTAAGTTGCACCATGTAATTCATCTAATAAGTCTTTCACCATATGTATTGGGAATTTATTCTTCATTGTCTAACTATTTAACTGCCTATAATCCACGTAAAATTGCCAAGAACCATTTTTTTTCACAAGCAAGGTGAGGCAAAGGGGCTCTTGCTTGCTTGAATGATAGAAGCTATTAACATTTCAGAAATATGCCTTTCAACCTCTGCTTTTTGATGGTGTGGAAACCTATAAGGTCTCCAATTGACCAAGGTTGTACTAGGCTTAAGGCTAATTGTATGATCATGAATTCGTTTGGGAGGCATCCCTTTAGGTTCCTCGGAAACTCCTGAAAATTATGCTAATAGTGGTTGTAACTCTATAGGAACATATTGCTCACAATACTCCATACTCAACAAATAAATCTCTCCCAATAAATCTGGATCCTTAGCAGTGATCTTTTACATTTTGTCACTAGATACTATTTTTCAGAAGTAAGGGTGTTTGATGGCCCTGAATAGATAATTGTTGTCCATCATTCTCAAAGGTGATAGTCATGGCATTAAAATCCATAAGAATGAGGCTGTATTTATGCATCCAATCGTCCCCAAGGACCATATCACAACCTTCTAGATTTATTATACAAAAATCAAGAAAAAATCGGTGGCCTTGCATAATCCAGCACAACTGATTGCTTTTGGATAAACTATAAAGTTTCTCCCTGTTAGTTATTTTAATAGTTAGTGGTTGTGTTGTAACTACTCAATGTCTGCTTTAACCCATTTAGGAGTGATAAAGCTATGTGTGCTGTCACTGTCAATAAGGATATTAAGAGGTTTACCCCTGATCAATCATTATATTCTAATTGTTGTATAACGAATGCTACCAGGGAGAGCATTGACTGAAATTTCCAGATTCTCATCATTATCATTCGAATCCCCTAAATTTCT